AAAAAAAAAGGGGAAACTGAGCCCCATTCCCTTGCCAAGGCTACGTTTTTATTGCCGGCCTCCATTGTGCCCTTCTGATGACATGGCATTGGAGAATGATCACCCATAATAGAGTCCGGCCGAGGTGCAGATTAAAAGTACAAATCACATTGTAAAGACTGAGTTGGGCTGCACTGTGTAACCTCCATCTTGGTCTGTTTCAGCCATGGAAGATAGATAAGAAAAGATCAAAAGAACTGTGTGTGTGTGTGTGTGTGTGTGCGTGCGTGTGTAGCACTGAGAGGATACTAAACCAGGTGGGCCTGCCTCTGAACCATCTCGTGTCCTCTCCTTTGTTCCCTTTCTTTCTATATGGAAGCAGGTTGACGAGCAACTCTGATGACGTTACTTTCCCCCACACGAAAGGGGTGTCTCCTGTGGTAAAGAGCTAAGTGTTGCTCTCTCTCTCTCTTTTTTTCTCTAGTGCTACACGCTCACGCTTTAGCAGGAGAGTAAAATGTCACATCTGCTGATGAGCGTCACCTCACTGATCCATGAAGCTCACCAGACTGAGTCCCGCCAGAGAGGAGGAGATCTTGATATGTGACATGATGTTCTCGGACTGGAGTGTAATCTCAGCGTGCGTCCACCGCTGCTTCCCCACTTCTCCCCGAGGGCACGGAGGGGGAGGTCATCCATCAAAAAGTCACATATTAGTCATAGAAATGTGAGCAGCGTGGAGGTCGGAATAGTGATCCCAAAACGGTGCTGAGATGCAGCGAGCGTAGAGGCCAGTCCTTAACAGATGACTTTGTATCGACCAAAGGGAAGACGGGTTGAGGTGGGGTACCAGAAGCTCTCCTCCCAGACGGGGAGACGAGGAAGACTGACAAATGAGTACACGGCAGCTGGGTAGGCCTCCTGAGAAATCTGGGCTGTCTGCAGAGCAGCAGAGAGAGCGGGATGATCGCCTCCGGTTTGGACTCGACTCCCCCTCTCCGCAGAATACCCTCCGCCGTCTCTCCAGCCACAACACACAGGTTGTTCAAGGCGACATACGGTTGAGTGCCGTGAGTGTTTGCATGGTGACACATCGATGTTGGGCCTCCTCCTCCTCCTCCAATTCCATTTAATTTCACATGGCACAATGACTGCGCATTTAAAGTTCAGACTGTCAGCTTTCATTTAAGAGTCGTCTCAGACAGACTGGTTGCGTTGTTATAATTACTGCAGTCGTCTGTGCTTACTTGCCCTCCCACATGTGTGATATAATTATTATGATCATTAAAGTTGGATGGACGACGATGAATTAAAAAAACAAGATAATTTTACACCCCAAATGTAGGACTTAAGGATTTATAAGAGTTCCACTGTATCCATCTAAATATTACAGGGGCCGGAAACAAGAGGGACCATGTCCAGAAGAATGGCTGTAGCTCCTCAGGCTTTATCCGATGTAGCTGTAAAAGCTTGCATTCACATCATAATCTGCGTCATTTTACATCCAAAGTGCTCAGAGCGCCAAGCCACAATGTTAATGCACTGCTGTGCCAACGGAGCTGGCTCTTCATGCATATGCATACAGCTCTATCCTACCCCAGAATTCCCTCTGCAAGCCTCTCCCAACCTGACTGAGGTTTCTAAAAACGGCAGCAAGCTTAACGCCGGTGACAGCAGACGTCACGCTGGAGGAGAGCGACTTTGATGAGACCCGTGCTTTTTAGAGGCCTCTTTTGTTAGCAGGGAGCGAATCACGCTTTACAAGATAAATCATCCCGCTAGCAGCCGGCTTAGACTGTTTACAACCAGATAAGGTTGCCAAGGAAACCCTCCTGGAGAACCAATGGGCTTTTTCTTTTTTTTTTTTGCAATACCAACCTCCTTGATCTCTGCAAACAATTAATACCTTACCCAGGCAGAAGGGAGGGAGCCGGGGAAGTAGGAGGCAGGCACAAATCCCCAGGTGCTTAGCACAACACCACTCTCTCCCTTCAGCTATGTGAAGTGAAAACAATTCACAAATAGATATTGGGCAGGAAGACACTGAGGGATGATGCATGACTCATTGTGCATTCATTCAATGAGAGCAGCCTTTAGTCCATAAATCTAATCTGCGCACGTGCAGCAGCACACGTCACTAATGTCCTTTTAATGAATGTTTTGAATGCACGGCCATCAAAGTGGCATTATGTCCCGACACGTCCATTTGTGGGGCACGGCTGTGAGTGTGCAGGTATCAGTGCAGCCGAACCCCCGATGTGCAGATCTGCTGGGGGGCCATTAGGATCCACGAGGGACTTCGACTAGCCACAGATCAGTGCTCTGGGGCCCCATCTATTACTGACATGCAATTACAGCAATGGACGTCCGCTTAGCACTGCTACTAAGTGCTTTAGTCTTTTTATTGACTACCCGTCAACTGCCTGCACACAGTGGAGCTAGTGGCTGATAATCGATCCATCCACACGTCAAGATAACCAGCATGTAGTTAAGTGTATAAAGAGAGCGAGGACGGCGACAGTGGTCAGAAGAGCAGCATGCACCACCAACACCAGCCCGATCTGTCCCCTCAGTCATTAACCAGGCATTTTGCACCATTCAGCTGATTTAATTGCAGAGCTAATTTTGTACAACTTTGATTAATGTTGGCTTGCATTGAAAGTAGTTACCCACCACATTAACTACAGGGGGGGGGGGGGGGGGGGGGGGGGGGGGGTGGGTGCAATTGAAAAAAAAAAAAAAAAATAAGCTGGGCAAATGTTGTCACAAATGGCCACGATGCTATGGACAAAATAGTGCAGCAGGGGAATGGGGGGAAAAGAAGCCTAGGGGATGAGCGGCCTAATACTGCAGGTAGCTGAGCCAGGACACAAACCTTTGCATGTTTATACCAAAGCTCAATGGCGAGCATTGGAGACGGCAGGTGGCGGCTGTGCCTGCCTCACTTAACTGATGAATTAGTCATTAAGTGGTTAGAAAGTCACCTCACCTGGCGTTAAGGGTGGAATTCACTGGCTGATTTAAATTGATCACAGTCAAAACGCTGCAGGAAGCCGAGTCCCCGGAGAGCGCGCACCACTGGAGAGGAGAGAGATTGAGTTTATTCATGCTCAAGTCAACAAAAGCTCCTGCTTCAGTAAACAAACAAACAAACAGGGGCTGGCTATTCTAGCTTGATTTCATGGACTTTTATTATTCAAAAATACAGCACAAAAAAATACACACAAAAAGAAGAAAAATAAAAAGGTTTTCACAGAGTGTAAACCTCAAAAGGAGTTCTTCATACAATATTAGTACGCTGATTTCAAAGCTACAGTTAATATGGTTAGTAGTTAATGTTCTGAGCACAGAAGGACAGACGCGGGACCGTCCCCTGAGAGCTCTGTACAGTTTGTCAGCAGGTGAATGTCTAACTAGAATTCTACAGGGGCCCATCCTGACAGCAAACTCCCTTCATGTACAATACACTTGCTCACACAAACACAACACACACAAACAGACACACAAAATAGTGTTTAAGAGGAACTGACAGATGTCATTTCTTTGTCTAGGCAGGTCCGGGTCTCACTTTCCTTGGTGTTAGAAAATAGGTGCGACAACAAATCTGCCAGGAAGTACAGGGGCCGAGATGTTCCAACATCTGTCACCTCCCCTTAGATCCCAGAATCCACACAAAGACTTACACTCACACAATGGCAGACATCTCCAATCATACAAGGGAGCATTTATACTGTACTAACTAGAGACCCATGCCGCGCCTCCTCTTCGGTTTTAGATATAGACTTGCCAAGCACAGCACGGCAGAGTATCACATATACACCATCTTTATATCATTCAACTGTGTTGCGATTACATAGGGTTACTTCAACAGGATATTTATACACACAGCCAGAACCAGAAATGGTGTTTTTTTTTTTTTTTTTAAAAAAGAACAAATTTACTTCATCTTGAATAAAAAAAACCAAAAAAAAAAAAACCATGACTTCATGTTTTGGAATACAAAATCAAAGCTTTAAGACAGTGTTGGAGTTTTTGTTAAGCTATGGGGGAATTTGTATGCAGTGTGGGGACATCCTGGACTTGAAGTGACCGAGGCAATGGAAAGCAATCGATAGGGTCACTGTGTACTGATTATTATATTGTTCTAGTGGCTGTGGACTATGATGGCCATCCGGGATGATGCTACTGCACATTGCACAGCGCACAATGGCGTAGGTGCTACGACACAACTCAAGGCACAATAGAAGTTATTAGAATCCAGCTGTGAGGGCTTTGCTGAGGTGAGCTGAGGGGAGGTGTGTAAGGCTGCAGTAAAGAGTAGAATAAGGCGTCGGAGCAAAAACAAACAGTTTGACCACTCCAAGTATTCATACTGGGTTTGCTTTTTTTTTTTTTTTTTAAAGCAGAAAAGATGAGATGTTGGGCTTCCAAACATTTTTGCAAACAATGGAAGAATGGGCGCAGTTTAACAGTAGAATAACCCACAAACTGCATGGACTGACCGATGGCAACTTACTTACACTGACTGACTGAACATTTATATTATCCAGCACTGAGACTGCACAATGAGCTCAAACCGAAGTGCTTGTAAAGCGGAATCAGAGCGGCACAATTCAGCATGCAATGGCTTTTCTCATTTGTTCCCCTTTGTGGCCACTTTCTTCATGTAGGCAGGCTTCACATCCTTCATTGAGAAGTCCAATTAACGCTACAGAAGCCATGAAAGGTTTCATATTGACCACAGAGAGAAGGTTAATCAAGATATTGGCTCCTTGTAATGCGACTGTAAATGAGGAGGATTACATATGCCGGGCATCTGAGTGTGGGGGGGTGATGCTACCGATGATAAATTAAGACTCGGTGCTCTTGTCCTGCTAGTGTGTGTGGGGGGGGGGGGGGGGGGGGG